TAATTAATAATTATTACCAATTAAAATTAGTAATATCTAATTTTTATTTACATTTATTTATAACTAATAGTAATAAATAATAATTAATATTAATGAGAGTTATAATTGAAAAAAATGATAATAAGCTACCAAAACGCTACTCTAAATAACGTTTTAATAAACTACCTTATGAACTAACTTATGTGTATCTAAACGTATACCTATCTATACTATATTATAAAATATTTGACAAAAATACTCTTAAAAATCATTCTTTATGTTTGAAATATCGTTTATTAATGCATATTACTTAAAATTTAAGATTACAAATAAATTGTGCGTAAATACAACTTATTTAAGCTCTATTTTTTAATTCATATTACTCACTACAGATAAATATAATTAAATATAGGATAATTGTCTCATTTTAAATATAAAAAATCTAAAATATAATTAGGATAATATTTGAACTCTAACATAATCATTATTTTTTTAAAAATTATATTGTTAAGCCAAAAATAAATTATTCGCTATTAGACCTAAATTAAATTATAACAAAAAATTTGAATAAAAGAAATTGTACAAAAAATAAGAATTTTTAAATAATTAATTTCATATTAATATTGATATATATTTTTTCAAAATTTTATGATATCTTTAAATTTATTTTTATTTAAAAGTAAAAACATTATCTTTATCAAAACTACATAAATCATATTATATATCAACAGAGACAAAAAATAAAATGAAACACTAAAATAAAGATATATTTCATTGCATTATACGAGTACCCTTCAAATTTTATAAGCTAGATTATTACCCTTATTAGCTACATGCCAAAATAAACATGCGTAGACTTTTTTAGTTAGTGGGGCCAGTTGGTAGCCATAAATTGTATTAGATCTAGAATGGCCCATTTAAGAGTTGGAGGCCCACTCTGCCATTCATTTTGTTGAAATTATCCCCCCATTCTACCTAACATGTTTTCCCATTTACTCACAAAAGTATATTTAAATTAAAATATTTTCGATAAATAAAATATTTTTAATAAATAAAACATAGATTGGCATGACTAAAGTTAGTTACCATATTTACTAGTAATAAATATGACCAATAAATAATATTTTTCTTAAAATATTTTAATTTTTTTAAGAGATATGCGAAAAAAACAGTTTTATTTATTTATTTTGCCAACATGTGATATGATCTGATGAACCGGTGGGCTCACAATGAAAATAACCCTTCAATATGTAAAAT